CTTGATCGCTAAAATAAGAGAGTTAAGATTCAAATTGGTGCTTTTAAAGGAGTTCGTCCCACGCTGGGCCCCAAACTCATATATGGCAGCCTGCTCCAATAAGACAACAAAAACAATTAAAATAGAATCCTTGGGTCATGCTGATCTTCCTGTGCAGAACCCCACCACCACCATTTTGACTAATCCATTATCTTTCAGGTACCCAGCAAGGCCTTGTTACTCCCCAAATCCCCTCTGGCAGACAGGACTGAAATAATGTTCTCTCTATATCTGGAAACCCTACACGTACACTCAGCACTATGATGCATGAATCATTTTGTATTTTTGTCGTTTCCATAAGATTATAAAGCTCTCAAGGGCAAGCATAGTTTGCATTTTTTTGTATCTAGAACTATGACAGTTCTAGGTTTATTACATGAACAGTGAAAAATATGTAGTGAGTGAAATGAAAATCTAAGAGTATTAGGAATGTTGAAAAATAATTGTGTTAAAAATTTATGATCCCAAAGGAGAAAACCAATAAGAAAATTACTTCTTTGTACTTAAGAAACAAGAATAAACATGGAATGGGACAGGAAAAACAGATATAAATGCTATAAGAGTTCAAGTATTACTGAATTGCTAAATTAATTCATATTTGAAACTAATATATAAATCAATATTAGGCACTCTATACATAACTGATTTGAGTTGTACATGTTCAATATAAAAGGTTTCATTGGATAATTTAATTAAAAAAAATCCCTAATCTGTTCCCTTTCCTTATTTAATGCTTATTTAATACTCATATTGGAAGAATCTGTGCCTATAATGAGTATGCTTCCAGGGTGCTCTACCTTGGATCTTTCTGAGGCCTCCAGGAATATTTATGCAGCCCAGTGGACCACATCCTGATTATTATCTTTGTTTTGAAGATAAAAAGTTAAACCCTTGCTCAGTTACCTCCAGGAAGCTCCATCTTTTTAACTTAGTTATTGGGCCACACTCAATGTCAATTTTATTTCCAGTAGGACGATCTGCAGTGACTTTAATAAGCCCTGACACTGACACCAGCAATCACTGAAAGGACCCAGGATCTCCATTTCTATCACTTGCCTCAGGTTCAAGGATGAGGGTTAGAAATCTCTTCCATGGAGTTACAGTTTTCTATCTCAGCTCAAGCCACCACAGACCTGGACTCCCTTGTTAAAGCCCATTACTTACACCCTTCTTTTCTATAAACACACACACACACCGACACCTGGCTAAGACATCACAGTTACTATGTTTAAGAATTATTGTGTTAAAGGCATCATCACTGATAGCGTTTTATCTTCACAAAAACTCTGAGGTGGATTCTACTACAAACTGTGTATAGGTGACAAAACTCAGTCACATAAAGGATAAGTGATGTTCCCAATATCACACAGCTGGGAACTGCACAGCCAAGATGTAAACCAAGCAATATGATTCTAGAACAGTCTGCTCTGTGTCCAGAACTTCTCACTATCTCCACCCCTGGTTTTCACATCTGAAACAGAACAAAAAGCCATCACAAAAGTGATGAGAACCTACTGACTTGCCCAAGGTCAATGAGAGATGGTGAGAAATTAGTTCATGTGGCATTTGTGTGAATTAACATTTGTAATGGGCAACATATGGTGATCTGTGCTGATTTTTTGGCAGAGGTCTGGCAGAGAATACTCAGAGGACACTGTCTCTCCAGGATATTCCCGGATGTGCTCTGTTGAGCTTAGTCTACCACAGGCCACAGAAGGATCTTTCTTATCCATTTTCCATATTAGCAGTCAGTATGCTTCTTTACCAAACCTTAAGTTTCCTTTGTAAAGGACTGAGATCTGTCTTTGTCTGCTCTCATTTTAGCCTAATGTCTCAATGTTTTCTGGGGCTGTTTATTTTTGTTCAGATGTCAAGATTATGAAAACCATTGTAGATGAACTTCTGGTAGTCTGGAGACTATACAGGATATAACAGCAAAAGCTATAATATCTTATAATATTTATTGATCTAGAGAGTATATTTTGAAGCCAAAGCTTAAGTATTTTATGTACCATCTTGCATTAAAAGTAGAAAGTAATTATGTAGTTCCAAAAAGTGGATGAAATAAAAATTATTGTAATATTTCCCCATAAGACTATGGGGGTACCCAAACTACCCTGATTATACTTATTTTTAATGCTTCTGCCTCCCCCACTAAAAAGGATAGAATTTGTCATATTGTAAAATACCATCTGATGCACTTGAACCTCAGTGAAGCTAAAGCTTAATTCTATGTGACATTTCTGGTGGTGTGTTATATTTTTGCAAAAATAAATCCCTTTGATTAAAATTTCACACCTATCTAAGGACCATGAAGCACTGATTACCTGGTCCAGTCCTAGTCCAGCATTGCCAAAAGGTTTACAAACCTCAATACAACTTGAGGGGAACTTGGCCTAGACTTCAAGTTAGTGGAATCATTCAAAGCCCAAGGCATTTGCCAGGTGTCCTGTTCCCTGCCCTGTGTCAGCAGCTCTAAATTAGGCACATGCTCTTTAAAACAGCCATGAAAATGATTGGCCCATATAGCCAGAACCCAAAGGAAATCTGAGCAGGTTGGCTATCACTAAGACTGTGGACATAACAGAAGTTCAGCATTTACCTCCTCTGCCATTCTCCATGGGTTTGAGGGGAGAAAGCAAAGCTTCTGGGAAAGCAGTTGCTTAAGTTCCTGTGACATTGAAAGAAATAGAAATAGTTGCAAATGCTCAGATTTGCAAACGCTGGTGTCATGAAATAGAAGCAGGGGCAATCTTCAGGCTAATGCTATTAGAAAACTGTTTGTAAAGCCCGGGGCTTAAACATCTTAGCTTCCTAACTAGCTACTGCTTTAAAAAGGACATTAGGTTCACATTTGCGTCTTCCAGATAAAGATTTTATATCTGAAGTTCAGCCCTCTGGACAGTGTAAAATTATAAGGAATGTTGTCTGGGTTACACCAGTTGTCCACAAATCCAACATTTTGTCTTTGTTGGCGATTTGTGGCCCAGGCCCCATAGGACTTCACCCTCCAAAGATTAGGGAAAGGTGTTTAAAGTATTATCCATAAACCCTTCTCAAAGTTGTTAATGTTTTCAGCTTGTAAAACCTCGCTCATGCTATGTACATGCTGTATAAAATACTATTTTTTCATGTTTATTCTTGGACACTTGTTTCAAGGAGGTTCATTACTTCTCTCATTACTAAAGTTGGAGAACAAGCTCTACCTTCACCTCTTTTGATTAGGTACATTTTAATCATGTCTAAGCTTAGACTCTGGTGGCAATTTGAAAGGTGAACTGACACAGGGCAAGACTGAAAGTAGGAAGCTAGCAAGGATACCCCAGAGGTGGTCCCTGGGAACCACAGAGGGGTTGAACTGAGAGTTGAGTTTGGCACAGGTCTCGGGGAAAGAGGGTGGATCAGATATTATAGCCCTAAAATTTTGGGAAATCACCCGATAACTTCAAAGTAGAACCAAAATCTTTCAAGACCATTTAGAACTAACAGAAATGATGAGTGTGGAAGAAGTAACAAAAGGAAGAAGGCCTGCTGGGGTGGGGGTCCAGCATTTGGCTGTCATGTGAAAGGATGTGGTAGGGTCACCACAGCAAACAGAAGCGGCCCGTTTAAAAATATCTTGAAGATCTTGATCTGCACAAGAACAAAACCAAAAAAGAGGCATTTAAAATATAAATGGAAGATGAGAAGCAGTGTAGAGGATCAAGGGTCAAGGATGTGCCAGTTCTGGAATCTAAGTATTAGATGCTACAGTACAGACAGGGTTCCTATGAATTAGGGACACAACACCTGACAGATGCATGGAGGTGTGACCCATACATGTCCCAAAAAAGGAACAGAAGAAGAAGAAGAAGAAGAAAAAAAAAGCAACTGATGACTTTAAAATTAGAAAAACTAAATTTGGGCTTATTATGCCCAAGAGGAATATAGCCTGATGCACAATTTATGCAAATTGATAAAGCTGATTACACAAATTAGCCAAGGCTTGGGTGTATTTTTTCTCTGGTCAATAAGTCCCCCACTCTTCACCCTTTTCTAAACTCAGTCTACTGCTATGCCATGTGAAACAAATCCTCTTGTTAGTGGTAGTGGCCAATCACTTGAGAACCCTGACTGGAAATAGTTTCTTATTTCAGGCACAAGGCTTGAACTGGTAGGACACTGAAGGAGCAAGACAGATAACAGCTGGTTCTACTATGAGAATGACAAAGTTATTTCCCCCAGCCCAAGACTGTCCCTCAGGAGATTGTTCCTTTGGATAGTCCCTACCCAAACCCCACCCAGGTTTTACTCAGCAGAATGAAGCACATTTGTAAAATATTATTAATATGCATCTCAACCAATTCTCAGAGCCATCTAGGAAGACAAATCTATGATCATCATTTAAATGTGAGAAACTGTTTTGGTACAAAAGCATGCTCACAGAGTCAGAAGGCAATGCGAAAAGGACTCAGATTCAATTCTGTACTCCTTTAATCAATAAGGCTCCAGAAACAGGGCCAGCATAGCTGAATTTTCTGGTTGGTGTATTCACCCTGGGAGTATATACCTCAGGCTGGGAGGAAGGCTCCTTACAAGGATTCTAGTGGGAGCAGTATAGTGTGTGGTCAGGAGGATGGGGTTCACTTACCTATCTGTATTGACTTTGGGGAGAGAGTATTAACTCTCTCTAAACCTCTACTCTGTCTTCTATACAATTAAGGTACTACTATATTACAGTGCTTTTCTTATAAATTTTCTTATGAATTAAAGCATGTAAGATCAGTAAAATCTGTAACATTTGCTATTAGGGCATTTTTAGAAACAGGCAGAACCCATGTATTACTTAGCAAAAACACTCCCATACTGCCAAGTAGCAGCCTCTATTCACGTTAGCTCACTGAATCCTTAGAACCGCTCTGTACATCATTATATGATCAGCCCATCTTACAGTGGAGGAACTGGGGGTTCAGGTGACTTACCTGTGGCCACAGAGCTGGTAAAGGAGGTAGCCGGGGCTTGTGGTTCACCAGTTCGCAGCAGGGCTCTGCACTCTGCAACACACAGTGGCTTCTGACCACAGATTGCTGCTCCTTCTTCCCTGTTTTGCTGAGTTTCTATATGAATTAAACAATTATTAGAAACCTATCTATCCTCCAGAAAGTTACAGCCTAGTATAAATAAAATAGAAGCCAAACTGTCATTGATCACATTTTTCACATGGAAACACGCACTCTATGTGCCCTAATGAGATACAAATAGAAAGTCCTAATAATCTCCCAGTATCTCATCTTATCCAACTTTCTTCTTATATACTTGGAGCATTTGCTTTGATGAGGCTTATCATTTCCCCAAAATGAAAAAGGATAAAGTAACAAAGAAAGACAATCTTGCCCCCAAAGAAGTTATGCTTTGGTCTTTCATTTTTATCCTGCCCATGTACTAGTTGTGGGCTTTGGTGGCTTAATGAGACCTTCTTATGCCCAAAGGCCAAAAAAATTATCCATTCTTATAGTAGGCCCAGTATTCTCACCAAAGTGCAGATTTATTTTTTCTAGTTTGGTGACAGGTGACTGATGATATAAGGTCATGACAGCAAGAGAAAAAGTTGAGAGAGAAAATGAAACACTGTGTTTGAGCATGACATTTAAATAAAAATGAGTTTCCTTCTTGGGTTGTTCTTCACTAAATGTTCTCAAGTCATTCACTAAAGCATTTTTTAAGTCCTCCTGGTAAATATTGATCACATATGTTTCTCACTGTCATTGTTCTTGGCAGTAACAATTTGTACAGAGAACCAATTAGTGATGTTTGGGACATATTTTAAAATTATAGGATATATAAGGAAATACAATACTGCTTATGTGAAATAAAAAGATAACACTGAAAAAAACATGATGTCATTGTACTAATAGAAGCAGAGAAATAATTCCCAAGTGAGAAAAGCAAAAGCCTGATAAGAGTTTATCTCCATGCAAAGAGAGAGGAGCTGAAATAGAGAAAGTGGAACAAGTTACAAAATTATAGCTTTGTGGTAAAAGTGAGACACAGGAATTGTATGTTAATATTACCAGGACAATGGCTTTTCCTTCCTTTCAAGTACTGTATGGGAATAATGCAGAACCAGATGACTGTACTTACAGTGACTTTGAGATCTGAAAGAGTTCTCAGGAAGAGAAATTAAAAAAAAATCTGAGGAGTTTTGGGTTCTAAATTACCAAAAAGCAAAATTAATGAAAAAGTAGGACATCAGTTCACTTAGATGCTTATCTTGACCTTGGGTAAACACAGGAAAGGAGAAAAATTCCAGGAATATTCAAGTGAACAGGTATTGGTGAGAGTCATTGTAACCTTCTTACTAAAGTTCCATAGTATTTTTCATCTCATGCATACTAAATTTAATACCCTATAAAAGAGCTTGTTCTACTAAATTTAGAAGAAAATTGTAGGGAAAGTCATTTCAGGAGTTACATCTCAAAACTTCTTTGAAATTTTCAGAGACAGACTTTCTGCAACAAACTGCTAATGTGGTGTTTGGAAGGGTGTGTTTATTCATTTTTTCTCTTCCTACTACTTAGCTCCTACATTACTCTAAATGAAGTTGATGATGACTCCATGTTATTAAATCCAGTAGGCCATTTCACTTGTCATTTTCTTTGAGCCCTCACCAAATCAGCAATGTAGACCACTGGAAATGTTCATGTCCCCTGGTTTCCAAGACAGCATGCCATCCTGATTTTCCTCTGACCTGTCATAACCCTTCTCCTTAGTATATTCAGATCATCTGCCAACATTTAAATTTCAGGGTTCTTAAGGCCACCTGAAACTGCCTTTTAATTGTCAGGTGTCTTCCTGGAGGGATCTATCTATGTCCAGGTCTTATATTACTCTCTACAGGTGTATGGCTCTGTAACTTAAGACTCCAGCTCAGATGTCTTCTAGTCTTTGCTAGGATATCTTAAAGTAAGGGGAAAAAATGAGAATCAAGACTTGCCATGTAAAGGTACATGATCCCAACAATGAATGTAACTGTACTGTATCCCTAAATGTACCAATAAACTCAATAAAAAAAAAAGTACTTAAATTAAGCATATCTAATACCAAACTCATGATCTTTCCACTCATTTTGGACCTCCTACCGTATTTCTGACTTCAGCCAATGAGATCTCTATCCACAAAGGCCATAAATATACCTCTTCCTCCTTGTCCCCAATTTCATTTTCTAAATAGACTAAGTAAGGTCTTTCTCTTATATATCTCCATTGCTATGACCTTAGACAAATTTCTTTTGCAAATATTCCTAATTCATCACCTCCTATTTCCCTTTGCTCTATCCTCAACCGTTCTCCTATTTCAATCAGGACTATTGTATGGAAAATGGAAATCTGATCTAGTCACTCCTAGAGACCTGTAAAGGTTTTCATTTGTCTGAGGATTAAAACTCCAGATTCTAACATGGCCTAATCACAAAAGCCTACAAAATAGGGGCCATATCTAACTTTATAGTATCATTTCTATTTCATTCCTTTCAGTCTCTTGTTTTAAACACTCTGTCTTCTTTTGGTTCCTCCAAAAGTCTATGTTCCTACTTGCCTAATGGCCTTTGCACATACCAGGCCTTTTCGCCTACTCACCTTCAAGAGCTCAACGTTGTATTATATTTCCATAAAGTATTTTGTGACCTCTCAGCCTATGTCACGTTCTCCTTTTAGAAGATTGTTTAGCTTCTGAACTTTTCCTTCATAACATTGAACATATATGTGATCATATTTGCACATATACATCATATATACTTAATGTTTTCAATAAATGAATGTTCATTCTAATGAACATTAACCAGGACCCAAAGTCTCTGATCAGGCATTCTAAGTAATAAGAAACATTAAGGGTATCCAACTGCTATGGTAGCCCGATTTCACTGACAACTCAATTGATAATGTTCCTGTACATACACCCTTCAAAATGTGACTTTGTAACTCGCATCATCAATAGAATTCATTTCTACTCCTTTTTGAACTGGGGATGGCCTTTATACTTCCTTTGGCAAAAGAATGAAGGGAAGAAGCGATGCCGCGCCAATTCTGAGCCTAGGCCTCACAAGCCTTTGATGCATCCGTTCCTTCCTTAGGAGCTCTTGCAGTCATGGGCTCATTTATCAGAGGAGGAGAGGGCTTGTATGGCAGATCCTTTGTAACTGGTTTTCTTAGACCATGTGGCCATAGTCTCAGGAGTGAACCCAAATGAGCATGGCTGTACCTGGCCCACATTGACTGAACCACTCAGGTTACCTGTACACTCACAAAAAGTAATGAACGGTTGTTTTAAGCCCCTGAATTTGTGAATGCTTTGTCTACATATAAATATATGACATATCTTATTGCCAATGGAAGATTTCTCCATACTCTATCGGATAATGTATTTGACACCTCAAATATTTAGTGATCAGTGAATAATCTCATATATTCTCTTTTTATTTTTCCTTCTCCCCCTAGATAATAATGCACATTTTACATAACAGTAAAGTCATTCCCAAATATAGACCTCTGAAAGTATTATAGGTACAATCTACTCCATATTATAAAAAAATTTCATCAGAAAACAGCATCAACAGAAAGGAAATGTTTTGTTTCCATTGATTATGTAGCTGGATATTTTTGGCTGACCTGGGGTTCTGGTTTTGTTGGTTGAAAAGACTGTGTCAATTCTTTCCTTGTACATCTGTAGGTATTTGGGTCTCAGAGCCACTGGTTGATTATAAGTCTCCTATCATTTTGACTATATCCTTAAATCTACAGGGAAATGGAGGAATCTCCAGGCAGAAAGATTGAATACTGATGAAATCAATAACAATAAAATTTATGTAAAGGAAAAGTGTGGACCTACCCTTGATCAGATTGTGGTAGGAGGCAGCAGATCCCGAGGGAATTCTCATTTGGTCCTTTTGAAGGGTTAGAAATGAACCTGGTTTCAAATGCAGCCCTGAATTTGCATCCGGTCCCATTCTGTTTAATTCACTCAACCATTGAAATGTGAACTAGGAGAAAAATATCTCTCTCTCTTGCTTATATATAATAGATATCTATTAATATATATATATATATATTTATATATATCTAACAAATTACAAGTGGAATAAAAGCATGAGTACAAAGAAACAAGTAAAACAACAACAATTAGAAGAAACTACAGGGGAATTTATTTAGGAATTAATGTTAGGAGATCATTTCTTAAACAAAATGCAAAATTCACAAATCATAAAGGAAAAGATCTGCTATGGATTGGATGTGATTTTTCATCCCCAAGAGTTCAGTTTGGGAATCTTGTTCCCAGGGTGGATATGTTGAGTGGTGGATGGAATTTTCAAAAGGTGAGATCTAGGAGAGGGTCTTATGTTTCTTGAAGCTGTCCTCAGAATGGATCAAATAGCTCTCAAGGGACCCATGAGTTAGTTCTCATGAGAGGTTGTTATTTTAAAAAGCAAGCGTGGCCCTACTCAGTGCTCTGGCTTCCTGACTTTTGAGATGATCTCTTATTCCTACATGCACTCTTATCAATGTGATGTAATCCACCAGGAGGCTTTAACCAGAGCTAAGGTGATGTAGTCACCAGGCACTTGAAACTCCAGAAATGTGAACTAAATAAGCTTATTTTCTTAGTAAAGTTATTCAGCTTCAGGTACCTTGCTATAGTCAGAGAAAACTGACAAATATAAGATTCATTTATTTGCATTGAAATTTTTAAGTTTGTTTAATAAATGTCACCATATCCAAAACTAACAAATGAAAAGCAACATCTCACACACACACACACACACACACACACACAAACCCCACAAACCACACACTACAAAGAAAATCTAAGTAAACAGGAAATCATCAGTACTCAAAATATACAAAAAATTCACTATAAATCAATCAAGAAAAAGTCAAACAGACCAAGTAAAAAATGTACAGGAAATATTTAGAAGATATTCACAGGAGAAGAAACCTAAATGGTTAGGAAAAATAAGAAAAAATATTCAGTCTCACTGAAAGAAGTGACCACTTATCTGTTGGCAAAATTTTAAGTCTGATATTATCAGGTATTGAGCAGAATCTGGAAAAATACAAACTATTGT